TGGGTGTGATAGATAACCAATAACACTCTATCCAGTTCACAAAGACTCTAATCTCATGCCCTGTCTTTGACACTACAATCGCAAGATTACAGAGCACTGGGCAGAGACAGAACTTCACCACAGCTCATGTCCTATAGTGAGAGGCTGTCATTTGCTGAGTCAACAGTAGAGGGCAGTTGCTGCCTTTTTAAGAAGAACTAAAGGCACGCAGTAAGGTTGAAACTTCAGGTTTGCTATGTATGTGGTTTGTGAACAGCACCTTATGCAGATACAGCTATGAGTGCTCAGTTTCTTCTTTTCATGACTGCATCTTGGATTCCTCATTTGTCCTGTTCCTGCTGTTAGCAGGACCACAAGTCCCCATGTGACAAGCCTGACAGAAACAAAGAGCTGTTACAAAGGTACATTTGTGTCTCTCAATCTACCAGACTACTGAAACAATGCAGCCCGAAGACATGGGAATTTCTCCAGGAATCTCATTCTGAGAGAAAAGAAAGGCTCTAGCCAAAGGGGTAACTTGACTCCCCAGCAGGATATTTCTCACAGTTCTAACAACTTGACAGACCACTTTACAGGATGAAGATATAGCCCAGACAGTGAAGGTCAGAGAGTGGAGGGACACTTTGACCAGGACTCCATAGGTGGCATATCCTTGGCCAGCTGTTTAAACTTTAATCTCACTTAAGGACTTGGCAAATAGACTTGGGGGAGAGGATGTGTTGGATGTCTTTGTCTCTCTTTCCAATGTGGCCATATTGAATAAATCTTTTTCTATTTTCCACTATTAATTTAGGTCTTACAAAAATATTTTTTAGGTTTATTCATTGTATTACATTGTATGAGTGTTTGACTACATGCATGTATGTATACCGCTTGTGAGCCTGGTGCCCAAGAAGGCTGAAAGACTGTCAGATCTCCTGGAAATGGAGTTTCAGATGGTTTTGAGACACCATGTGAGTGCTGGGAACCAAACCCAGATCCTCTGCAAGCGTGATAAGTGCTGTTAACCACTGAGCCATCTCTGCAGCCCCAAGGTGGCTCTTTTAATCAACAAATTGAGGATGAGTGGCTAAAGCTGGCTTCTGGACAAATAGGCTGTCTTTTATATCACCCATGTGTGTTGAAAAAAAAATGCGCAATACTTGGTTTATACAAGAAACTTTTTTTCATAATATTTTTATTGATTTTTGGGGAATTTCATCTTATGAATCCCAAGCACACTCACTTCCCAGTCCTCCCAGGTCTATTCCCTAACCCTTGTGACGCCCCCCCCCACCAAAAAGAAGAAGAAGAAGAAAATAAGTCCAATTTCTGTTGCCCATGTATTCACTGGAGTGTAGTCCCCGTGGCCATCCCCTTAAAGAAAACAGTCCTTCCCCACCTGCATCCCCACCAGAAGCCATCAGTTCTGCAGAGTTACACTTCAGCATCCTTATCACAGTTTTTAAGAGTTCTCTTCCATGGCTTTATTGTCTAGGCTGTTATTTTTTAAGGGGTGTAGGGTGGAAGTAGGGGTTGTCGCAGAAGCCTTCTATGTCCCTCTTTCTCAGCTGTGAGTCCGCAGTCATCAATACCTTGGCAAAAGTAGCTTCCTTGCCCTTTACAGTTAGCAGAAGCACAGATCATGAACATACACATGGTTTCTGGTGACAGCATGGACCTGAGACATCCACATGGTCTCCAGCATCAGCACATGCCACGGATCTCAGCACGGTATCAGTGGTGGTACAGACCACAGACATCAACACTGCCCTCTGCCACTGCATGGGCCACGGACACCATCATAGCCTTTGGTGACAGCACAGGCCAAGGACATCAACATGGCCTCAGGTGGCAACACAAGCCACACATGTCACATGGCCCTCTACAGCAGCACAGCTCATGGACATCAACAGGGCTTCAGGCTGCAAAACAGATCACAGACATCCACAAGAACTATTTTTTTTTTTTTTTGAGACAAGGTTTCTCTGTGTAGCTTTGGGGCCTGTCCTGGAACTCACTCTGCAAAAGACGAGGCTGGCCTCAAACTTTTTATGTGGGAGTTCACACTAGACTACTCCCATTCAGGTGTCTTTTCCCTGAGTAGCTGTGCCAACTACTTTCCTAATCAGCTTCCTCCACAGGCTGTTTCCTCCACAGGCAATTTCCTTCACAGGCTTCTTCCGCCCCCTCTACTTGGCTCCCCATTTCCCTTCCTGCTCTTCTTTTGTGCTCTGTCCAGTTTCTGGTTTATGTTCAACACTTGTCTACCACACACACTTCCCCAGAGTCAAGTGGCCAGTCTGGACTTTTTTCTCTTATTAGGCCTCCTCTAGTATTAGTGTATTAATAGGTTCCGGTCTTGATATGCAAAGCCCATGCCAAGCTGTCCTGTAATTCTCATATCACACAATCTACTTGGACTCAGATCTGACTTCCCATGGAGGCAGGAACCTTCTCTTTGTTCCCTGGTCTCAGCCTGATCCACCAGGATGTCCTCTTTGGATGTCTTATGGGGTGT